AGCTTTGCATTCACACAAGTTGTTCTCATCCAGGGACGCAATAGGGTAAATACATCTCATATTAATGTGCTTACTGTCATATTTTCTTTTTGACTTGCTAATCTTACGTTTATTCATTTTTTATTGCTAAACGATTAAAAATGCTTTTATTGTTTGGAAATATCACAGATTCGAGCAGCTCTGATCCATCTCTTGGACGTCTTTCAAACAAGTGACTTTGTAGTAACGATATTTAAGACTCTTACTATACTTGAAACCAAAGCATCACTGCATGCTACCGAGCAGGTAGGCACATTTATTCATGCTTCCTAATATGCTGCTGTCGTTAACTCTGGCATACTTTTAACTACGCTAGATTTATTAGCATTAATTTACTATTGATTGTAACTTTCATTCCGAGCCTGTACTATGGTGGTATTTTAGTATTACTGCATATTGTCTCGAGATTTTTATAAGGGCTTTAAATACCATTTTTTAATTAGCAAATTTGCTTTGGTTTTATTGCCTATGATTTTTTTTCTAGCTAACTGCTTTCCTTGCATATTTATCTGAATCCATTTATTATTATTTGTTGTAGATTTCTCTTATTATCTCTCAACTTTTCCGTGAACGCCAAAGAGAAAATGTCAGAATAAGTTTACTTAAGGACCTTGGTATTTTGGCCAGACATGCTCCTTATCACTGGTCAAGGGAGCATATTAAGGTACTTTGTTTATCAACATATTTTGTATGTGTATGTATAATCAATCATTTTATTTTTCTTCCTAGCAATTATGCTCACTTTACTGGCAGTTAGCCACAAATCTAGACTCTGGTGGTATCGAAAGGGGGGCGATTATAGATGCTCTATTTCATCTCACACGATCTTTTCAAGCTCTCAATTTATTAGATGATAAGGAATCTGACGAAACAGATGAAGCAGAGTTCTCTCAAAAAGTTATGCATAAAATTTATGCCGATGATTTATTTCCTTCGCATTCGGATCCACGGGAAGACTTTTTAAACGAATTAGAACTTGAAAAAGATGTTACATTTAAAGGTTAAATATTTTCTCAAGTCCAAAGCTTTGTTGACATTTATTTACTACTTACTTGTTTACCATTACCTATTTATTTATAGCCGCTTCGCCTGCTGAATGTATTCGCCACGCCATTCTGGCCATTCACTTTCGCCGCCCATCCACATGCTCACCTTGTCCTTACCTTCTATGTCTGAAGTGTTTGGCTTTAGCCTGCCGCATTTCTCTCATTCTTGCCAACGCACTTCCTGATTGTGCTGCCCTCGATCCCCCATCCTTGCATGATCGTGATTCTTTGCAGGTGACGGACATCAGATCTCGCCTCCAGCTTAACATGTCGCCTCTTCAAGTAGCATGTCTCTTGGCCATAAGCATGTCTCCCTACAAATCCTCTAATGGTGAAGATTCTGACTCATTTCGCCATTGGTTTTTAGATGAGCTAAGTCTGACCACTCTTGATCTAAAGGTATTTATGCAATTCTTTACTTAAAAGACAATTCCTATAAATAATGCTAAATTTACATGATATTGCTTATTTTCATTTGCAAGAATTTTGATAATATTTTCTATTGCTTAGTTTTCTTATTGCTGGCGAAAGCGTTTATTTCATAGTGCTTATTTTAAATGTTTACTATAATCTAGATAATCTGTTTTCAAACTGACTCCAACTATTTATTCTTTATAATTTCGCATTATTCTTATACGTCTAATCAAATGTGTCTATAAGTTTTTAGGTATAATCTCAAAAAATACGCATTAAATTAGAATATCACTCAGGGTGTAACTTGCTTCTTTGATGACGCTGTAATTGCAACTATCTTAGGGATATAAGTTGTTTGACCTTGGTTTCGCAACTTGGTCTCGTTGGTAGGAAGACTTAGAGGAACGTACCTAGTCCGGAGTCCATTGTATGCATGATTATTTCCAAAGTTGG